ATTATGTACTGCACCCTTTCCTAGAAGACTCAGGGATCATTGAAGAAGAGGGAGCAGAAAGAGGGTAAGAGCCAGAGGTGGTGGATGACTACAAGAAAATGATGTTCTGGGCACAGCAGGGTAGATGCACATATGAACTCACAGAAAATATGACAGTATGCACAAGACCTGTGCAAGCCAAAGACAGAAAAATCCTTGCATGGAGATGGAAGTTGGGCTTGATGTAATACTCTGAAAGGAGGTGTTTTTGGCAATCATTAGCTTCCGGGAGAGGAAGGGTCAATTTTCTCTAAGAGGGTAGCCCCTGATAAATTGACCAAGATTTATTGGAAGGTCAAACAAACAAGAATACTTGATGAGCACAAATTGGCTTTTGGGGAAAATTATTAAAACAATGGTTAGGAATAAAAGGTAGATAGATGTGGGAAGAATTTAAGGAGGGAGGATGAATATGATCAAAAATGAGATAACTTTGTAGGGTTAGTGAGGTGATGAGCCATAGGAAAGAATCTACTAACTCTTGACTAGCATAATTCTTTACTACATTCTAAATCTTATCCGTGTAGATGTAGGTAAGTGTAGCTACCACCCCTTACTAAAAAGATCTCTTTTTACAGCAGTTGGAGACCATTCCAGAAAGTCACTATTGGATATAATGCAGACACCAAGAGATTTTGGGAATCCCAGCCTCAACATAAAGAAAAACATCACAACTTCTGCATCTATGACTCAGTAATCAACACAGAAAAGGAAGCAGTAAGATTCTAAGAATTAGAATATCAAGAAGTCACCAATAAAACAGTCTCTTCTAGAAATGGCTACAAAACAACACTGGAAAAATGGCAAAATCAGTAGATGTGCTAATGTGGAAAGGGAAAATTTTCAGAGTCCTACCACTAGGCAGGCAACTCCATACAACTAATGACTCCTGGGGTAAGGATAATTATTCTCTCCAAAGCTTAAGCTCTATTATTTGCAGTCCATTTTCAGATTGGCAGCAATGAAATTATAGACATATATGATTTCCAGTAACAAAGAGTACTCAAGAGGTTGTATATGTATGTGTTCACTTACAGACATTTGCACAATAATAACTAAAAAAAAGATGCTATCATTTTGAGAGTGGGAAAGGCATGAGAAAGAGACAAAGGAGGACACCTGGGAAGGGATAGAAGGAAAAAGGGGGGTGGGTGGGAATCATACAATACTATTTCAATTAAAACATATTTTTAAAGAAGAAAAAACTGAAACCACTAATAAAAATTTTCTAAAAAATTATATATGTCAAGCACAGATCATGTTTGGTGGATATTAAATAAAGAGACAACACAAGGTAGGGTAGATAGTAAAGTAGGGATGTATCTCAGAGGCATTTGTGGATGATCACAATCAATAAACATTGTATAAGATTCTGAATGCAGTAAATATTTTTTAAACAAATAGCAATACAATTTTGATAATATGCTATTGCAGACACAATGATTGATGAATATTTTATTACACTTGGCTAAGAAATGAAAGCCATAAATTACATCACTGTTACCCAGGACTATAAACATTGACTTATAAGAATCCTGTATTACTCAGTTAATTTGCCTAATTTCTATAGTCCAAGAAAATGAAAACAGATATTCTGATTGGGCTCTGTCACCATTATCAATAGCATTTATTCTGTGGTGAAATGATCCATAAGGAGAAATTACACTTGTGGTAATGGAAATGCATAGTCCTGCAGCTCAGCAGAAAATTAACATGAAATTCATTGTTTTTTACTTAAAAAATGAAGAAAAATTTTAGATAGGATGTGATCAACATGACATACACACATACCAAGACTAAGATATAAGTGCATAAACCTACACTTACCATTGGTTTTCTTCAGTTCCTCCACAAGGCACTGTGCTTCCTCTTGAACACGGTCCTCAATGGTCCTTTTACCCATGCCCAAATTCCGCAGAGTCATGAGTGAGAAGCGTCTTATCTCTTTCCATCTGCTTCCATTGCTAAAACTAATGCCTAAAAATGATAAAACACTAGACATAGATTCTAGGAATAGATGAGAGATCTGATAGGTGGAAACCATAGAGAGGTCCAACCTGTATCTAAGGAAGAAATCTAGACCCACCTTTCAGTATTCACTTCTACTGTAAACACTGTGCAGCACTCACATGAATGTGTACACTTACTTACCAAGGCCTTTATTAATTTTTTCAGCTATTGGGAAGCTTCCTCTTCCAGCAAACTCCTCCCCATGGTCAATCAGAGCTCCCTTCACTGCTTCATACCCATGCAACACAACAGTAGGCTTCATGCCCAAGTACAGGGTGAACACAGGGCCATAGACTTTTGAAAACTGGAAATGGGAAAGAAAAATGTAAATGTTAACCAAAAAAGGTCACTTTAATCTCCATGGAGTCAACCTCATTCACACTGATATTATCATTTACTGTGTTTTAATAATTTTTATTCTGGCAAAATCAGCTTCAAATGGTCCTGAAGCCTATTTATATCACATTATGGTGATGATAAGTTCTTGATCACCTACAGTGAACCATGTAATGGCTCAGAGCTCAGGTAGTTGTTACACAAAGATTACAACCAATTTTTACATCAGAGCATTCATCAGAACACTATCTACCAGAACTCCATGTAGGCCACCCATCTGCCTAATGACTGCCACTCTCTCTTAGTGCCTGACTACCCTACCCATAACCATCCCTCCTATTCTGCCCATTATTTCCCAGTCTCCCAATTCAGGCATAAACACCCTGTTTCTGAGGCCAGTCCTCTCTGACCTATAGAAGTCCAGCCTACAGTTATGGAGACTCTCTACTCAAACATAGGACACTACAACAAGAAGAGTAGAGAAGAAACAGAAACCAAGAAACAAAACACCCATAGTACTAAACCATAATTCCATATTTACAGATTTTATGCTATACATCAAACTTCTGATGCCATATTTACAGGTTTAGAAAAACAACAGAGGACTTTATATGGGACCACAAAGAACCAAGAAGAGTCAAGGCACTCCTACGGAGTAAAATCATGGTTGGAAGTGTAACAATATCTGACCTTAAATTATATTATAGAGCTACAGTGATATAAATAGTCTGGTACTCACAAGAATATACAAGTAGACCAATGGAACAGATGAAATGATGTAGAAATACAGCAGCAAAGCCAGGCCCACTTGTTTTTGAAATGTAAAATTGTAAGTCAGACTCAAATGATTCAGTTGAGCAGCCCAGATTTGATAACTGCTACTACAAACATCACAGAAGCTGCACAGAGGAATGCAATATTTCTTGGAAAAACAGTTCCTCCTTTGGAAACATTCTCAGCCCAAGACTTAGATTTTGCAAAAATTAAAATTGTATATAAATATCACGAGATATGCTGAAAGCTTGGCTTATTTCTTGCATTTCTTGTGTTATTTCATGTCCCTTGGTATTTATTAAATAAGGCATCAGTTAGTTCTTCAGAGTCCAGCATCAAATAGATAACCTCAGCAAAAATGTTTGTCTAAAGTTCTACCTGACTTACTGAATAAAATATTACTTAATATTGACCTTCAACTAAAAATAAAAAAAGCCTGATTTTTTAAGATAGGGAATATTCACCAATTTTGCAATTTTGTAGGAATTTTTCTTATTTTATAAAATACAATTAAATAAATATCTTTTCACCTGAATTCTTGCTCATTACTGGATTCCCGAAAAGAGACAACTGTAAAAGTAATAAGGTACACAAATAATACTTTGGAAGAGTTTTGACTTTATGATTATTTGTAACAATTACTTCCTCTTATATTAGATTTTCATTTAAAGCAGCTTTGAGTTTATCTTCCTTATCAAGTTATTGAGGAGCACAAAGAATACTTACATTGGTCAAAGATTGGCTGATGTTCTTTGCATCTATCTGGAGGAAATTGCCAATAACTGGGAGAGGAGTGGGGCCAGGAGGGAGCTTCCCTCTCTCAGAGCTCTGTCTCCAGAGTGAGAGGAGAAGCAGACAGGAGAGACTGAACACCAAGAAAACGAATGGATCCATGGAGACCCTTCTCACTGACAGAGCTGTGATCAGCCAGCATGGAGCTTTTGTAACACTACCTGCTGAATCAACATGTTCCTCTTTGGTACATTATTGACTGATCAATCAGATAACTTTTTTTTTATTTAAATCAGGTAACCTTCAATCTCTCTCTGTCTCTCTGTCTCTCTGTCTGTCTCTCTCTCTAGTAGACTTTGTCCTTTTGACAGAGAAAAATAAGATCTTCTTTACCCTTGTCCTTCTTTACAGGATACCCATTTGAATTTCTGGTTTAATGGTACTGATTGGTGTCCAACTATTGCTAATAAAAAATAAACAAACATATTTATAATGTGCAACTATTCTTTACAATCAATAGATTAATTTTGAGATGGAAGAATCTCCTCAAACATTACATGCTCAAGTTAGTGACCAACTAGAAATTTATGACTTATGGATAGTTTCTATATTCTATAAAATACATTTATTTTTTGACAAAATCTTACTTACTATGTAGCTTAGATTTACCTCAAACTGACAATTCTTCTAAATTGACACAATATCTAGAAATATATTTGTGTACCACCATGGTCATGCATATTTAAAATATTTATTTGCTATATCAAACATTTGGACATATTTTGCTCAACAATGTAAGTTTTATAGCTCATTATTTCCCTCTTTGGCATTTATAAAACTGAGATAACAAAACAAACCTATCAGTCATACATCTTGAATCAGAAAATACATATTAAGCTTTTAGCTAAAGAAAGTTGTTTCTTTTTCAGTGTTATGTACTTCAACCATGAAAGACCTTTTTTAAAGGTAATGGGACGGAAGGAATTGTCAGTGTCTCACAGCTCATAGTTGGAAGAATTTAGAAATCAGAGTGACTATCTAATGGACATACTTACTCCCCTGGCTTTACTACAGATTCTTAAAGAAAAGTATTATATTCTCCTTGTCCCACCAGTGCTGATGTAAAGAGAATAAGCACAATAGTCTATAGAGACAGTAACAATAATTTCTATGCTTAAACCTCCACAAACAGCACCATCAAGTGGGTACTAAGTATTCAAATGTTTCAGCCTAAGGGGACATTTCTAATTTAATCCACAATTCTTGCATTTTGCCCCCTTTCCTGAAAAAAAAATTCAGTTTAATGATACCCATCACAATTTCTTGACTGTGCACTGTGGCACTATCCTGGTCATAATCACTATCATTCACAGTAAACATGAATCTAGTTAATAATTATGTCATCATTGTTTTAACATAGAAGTCAGAAAAGTTTGCTTGTTTTGTAATCTTGCTTAAAGATTACAAAAAATAGCTACAAAATGATCTAAGATAAACTTCAATAACCCAAAGTCATGGTTATCCTCATTATTTACAATGAAGTAAGCAATAATTTGTTGCCTAAATCTTATTGCTCTAAAGTCCCAAAGAATAGATTTGAATAAAACAGTCTCAGTAGATTTCTTTTAATGCCTGAGTAATACTTGATCTGGCACATTTCTAAGTCAGCATGGTGCTTTTAGACCAACTTATAAGAATCCAATCCAACTTAAGGACAGATAGGCCTCTGAGCTCAACTGCTCTATATTTCTTTTTTAATAAAAAACCTGTTGGTGATGTATGGAGTATAAACAATCACTATAATTTGATTAAGATGAATTGACTTTTGGTTAAACTTTTTAGTGAACCTTCATTACATTTTGTTTGTTAACTTGTCTCCTCTTTCATCAATATCACATAATTAAAAATATTTTGGTGTATTTATAAAAAATACTAGTGCATATTCGTTATACAAATGAATTGATTTCATAATGCCATTTTTATTCAAGTATAGCATGACTGTGACATCATGAACATCCTTTCTTTACCATGTTGATGCCTCCTCATTCTGACCCCCAATCATCTTTCCTTCTTCTTTGTCTAAGAAATTGATCTTGCTCAAATAAAAGGAAATAGTTTATTCTGGAGTCAAATATGCAGGACCATGGCTGAAAAGCTGGAATAATGTTTCCCCCAATACCTTTTTCTAATATGGGAACAATTTAAAAAAACTATAAATGAATTCTTTGTCAAATTTATCAATAGAATCTTTAGGTAAGGTGATTATAAAATGTGGAGAAATCTTAGGTACAGGCCTCAGATGCTTTCTGACATTCTTAGCATTTTGGTCCTTAGAAGCTAGAGGTCTATTTATATATTCAAAAAGATTACCTAATAGTCACAAAGTTGATAGCTTATATAAAGAGCTGGGAAAAATTGCTTCAAAGGAAGCTGAGATAGCCTGAGGTCATTTGGTTCTAGACTTGAAAACATTCTAGGTTCTTCACAGCACTGAAGGACTTTTTTTCCCTTAAAACATGGGAACATTTATTAAGCAACCCTGGACTCAATATTATTATTTTATCAATTAGAGAGCAGAATTTTTTTCCTTGGACAAATATATAAAAGTATACATACTTATAAACAAAAATCACAGTGATTTTAATTGTGCCACAGGATTAGAAAATAAGAAATGAAAAACAGGTTTTTCATTCCACACTAAAATTTCAGGTGAGCCAGCAGATGCTCAGCAATGGGACAGGGCACATCCATAT